ACACACACAGACACACACACACACACACAGACACACACACACACACACAGACACACACACACACACACAGACACACACACACACACACAGACACACACACACACACACAGACACACACACACACACACACACACACACACACACACACACACTCACACACACACACACACACACACGTACACATGTGCGCATGCCAGGCCCGGTGTTCCCTGATAGAGTCCATCCAGGCAACCCTGGGGCTGCTTTCTGAAGAGTCCCCAGGGAGCATGACACTCCACGAGACCATTCAGTGCAGACACTAATATCCCACACAAAGCCAGGTGCTAAATGGCTCAGAAGGACAACACACACTTCTACTTAGACAAGACCCCAAAGAGCCACACTCAGAGACAAACAGTGGAGCAGGAGGGGACAGAGGACATTAAACAACAGCTCAGTGGGCACAGAGCGCACTGGAATGCATGGTGGCAGGGCCCCTTAGGCCAATGAATCACATGCTTAAAACACTGGCCAAGGGAGACAGTTTTATGATATAGGTTTTATTACAATAAAAAATTAATGATGTAATATACCAATAGCCATTTAATTGTCTACTTTAAGTGGGTGACTTTGTGGGGCATGTAGAGATCTCAGATGCTGTTAAATGCACCTCTGAGGATAGCAGGAGGCCTGCAGCAGGGGGCGGGAGGGAGGAGAAGGGAACCTGGGAGTGGGAAGGCTCTGATTCCCTTACGTTACCTCATAGACATTCCTAAAAACTTAAATTGGAAAAGTGTGTGTGTGTGTGTGTGTGTGTGTGTACATGCCTGCGTGTATGTGTGTGTACATGTGTCTGTGTGCCTGTGTGTGAAAACATGCTGCATATGTGTGTACATGTGCCTGCATGTACGTGTGAATATACACATACCTGCGTGCATGTGTGCATGTGTGTGTGTGGTGGGTATATATGCATACGTGCATGAAGGCCGAAGGTCAATGTTGGGGGTCATCGTCAGTCAATTTCTACCTTATTTTTTGAGACGGGGTCTCTCATTTAACCACACTGTTCTGCTGGACTGTCTTCGCCTCCCCAGTGCTTAGAGTATAGACATGCGCTACGGCACTTGGCCTTTTTCTACATGGTATCTGAGTCTTAGACGTGTGTCACCTGGCTTATTCAGCAAGCATTTTACAAGCTGAGCCTTCCTTTGAAACATGAAAAGTTTGCCTTGAGGTTCCCACCTTTGCAGTTAAGATCCCGGGTCCCCCGGCTTCATTCCAAGCCATGAGTCGCACTCTTAGGGCCCATATGTGGGCCTTTCAAGGCTCAGTTATGTATGGCCAAAGCCTAGGGAGGGCTGTAGCAACTCTCAGCATACTGGGGCCTGGACAAGGAGACTCTGTCCCCAGAAGTCATGTTTGCTACACCTAGGGCCAGGCTCTTTCCCACCCATCACACCCAAACACAGACTGCTCCACTAGAGCCAGAGCAGAATCCAGGCATGGGGGTTGGTCTTCCTGGGGAATACAGCATGGACCACTCACCTCTCTGACCAGGGGGGCAGTGTGTGCACACCACCTCTCCAGTCTCTGGGATGGTGGTACAGGCTGACTGGCCAGGGCATGGACAGGGCTGGCAGTCATCAGCATGGCCTGAGAAGGCATTGCCAAAGAAACCTGGCACGCAGCGTTCACAGGATGGCCCCTCGGTGTGGTGGCCACACAGGCAGACCCCTAAGGAGCAAACAAATAACCTGTTCACCACCTCAGCCCAGCACTCCCTAGACCAGCGGCTCTCAACCTCCCGAATGCTGCGACCTTTTAATACAGTTCCTCATGTTTTGGTGACCTCAGCCATAACATTATTTTTGTTGCTATTTCATAATTTTAACTCTGCTACTATTATGAATAGTAGTGTACATATTTTTGAGATAGAGATTTGCCAATGGGGTTGGGACTCACAGGTTGAGAACCACTGCCCTAGACAGTGAGTATCTTGGTGGAGGAGCCATGGGGCCCATCCTGGTAGACCAGTGAGAGCCTGGGGTGGAGGCAGCAGGCTCTGGGGATGAAGCATCCAGGTGAGCCAGGATGCCTGGGTTCATGGCCTCCGCTGAAGGCCTGTATGATATGGGAAACCCACTCCATGGAGGGTAGGAGGTGCAGCTCTGCCACCCTGCATCTCAAGTCCCTGTCTTGGAGGATGGGAAGGTAATATGGGCCTCACCAACAGATAATGCCTGCAGGAGTCAAGGACGGAGTGCCAGAGACAGGGAGGAAGCTTGTGCATTGTTTCACTATTTGTCTCTGACTGATGGAAGGCACAGCAACTCTGGTTCTATTCCCTGCTCCTGTGTCCTCTTCATCTTGAGGGACCCACCTAACAGAGGCCCTGGCCCCGGTTTCCAGCCTTGTGGAAGGGTTCACCCTGTGCAGGGACCATGAGTACCTGCAGGCCATTAGTAAGGCAGCTCTGTCTGCCTGCTGGTACCTGAAGGTGGGACATCACAGACTCCCTTCTCCAGCCCAGCAGCTCCTGGTGTCTGCTCAGAGCTGGGACACTTAGAGGGGACAACTAGCCACAGGGACAGAAAGTCAAGACCACCCCCTACAGGAGGCAACCAGCAGTGTCCAGCCAGGATTGTAAGGAGAAAAAAAGGAACTTCATTTCTTGGATAAGCAGATCAGGGGAGGGCTCCTGCCTCAGCCCCACACACAGCCTTAGGTTTGTTTCTCTGATCAGCTGCTGCACCCGTTTTACAAATGAAGGCTTGCTTATATAGAGTGGAAAGCTGTGGTGAAGTCAAGGGTTCGGTGGGGTGAAAATATCAGTTTCATCTTATTAGAAGATTCTGTTTCCTCAATAGGAGCTGCAGGGAGCATTATGAGGCCTCAAAGGATTATGCGGCCTCATCTAGGCTCAATTGGTGATGTCTGTCAGGCACAGGACAGTTAGATGATGCTCTATGTATCAGGAGACCCCACTGGTTCCGTGGAGACAGCAGGGTGAGAGGCCTGTGGTACGGAGGTGGAGAAGCCTGTGTCTGTCCCCTAGCACCTTCTGGTCACATGACCCCCAGTGAGGCTTCTGCACCTCTACAGGTATGGGAAATAGCTCTATAGAATGCCACCCGACCCTAGACTGGTGGAAGGTGTGTCTCTGCCACTTATTGGTCATGAGGCCCCGAACCTCAGGTCCCTGTCTTGGAGAATGGGACAGTAATGGGGAACATATCACTCTGATGTCTGTGGGAGTCAAAGACGGAGTGACAACACCAAGGAGGAAGGGATGGCACTATTTTATCATTTCCCATATCTGCCTCTCCCAGGAAAAGACCCCTCGGCTCATCTGGTCAACTCCCCCTGAGCTCTGGTGCAAAGCAGGGCTATATTTGAAAAGTCTGGACAATTCCTGACCTACATGTGGCCTTTTCTCCATGACTTGGGACACTGTCATTGTCCAGACTGTACAGATGGGGTACTCAGGGAGTGACTTTCCCAAGGCCACAGCCATGAAGTAGTGAAGGCAGCAGGCTCGTGGCTCTAGGTTGACACTCATGACCTTGCTGTCACCTGCATGACCCTCTGAATGTCCTCCTTCTGTCATCGTCTGTGTTGATAAGCCCTCCGTCCTTCCTCTGAGTAGTAAGCCCTGAGGAGTCCCTCCCAGGCCTGCCCACTGACTGTGGACAGACACCTGCAGGGAGGCAACTGCAGGTCTTCTCAGGTGCTCACAATCCCTGGCACCCAGGTTCCACTCAGGAGAAGCCTAGGTAGCATGGCAAGGACAGACCAGTGCCTGTGTCCCCAAGAGCCATTAGTGAGGGCCAGTCCTCATCTCACTGTGCCCATGTGGCCGAGGTAGCCTTGGCATGGGATTCTGGGAACTCACCGGTGTTGGGATCACAGGTGCCATGGTGGTTGCAGGTGCAGGGGATGCAGTTGGTATAAGGACCCCCATGAGGTATCTCTCTTTTGTATCCCAGAGCACAGGATTCACAGAACTGGCCTGTGTATCCCTGGGGACACAAGCAACTCTCCACCCAAGAGACTGGTGGAGCAAACCCTCTCTGGGGCCGGGCTGATGTGAGCTGGACTTCACGCAGGAACACTTGGCCTGCAGAATGAGAAGAGAAGGGGAGACCTCCATGTATGTCCACCCAGCACTTCCTGAGCAACTGTGAGACAGGCCCATGCATACAGAGGCAGCCTGTGAGGCAACTGTTATTTTTGTTTGTTTTTTGAGATACAGTCTTGCTGGGTAGCCTGTGCGGTCTTAAGACTGCTATCCTCTTGCCTTATCCTATAAGGTGCTGGAATTATAAGCATGAGCTTCTATGCCAGGTTTTAAGTGTAATTTTGAAAACAACAGTAAAAAAAAAAACAAGAGCAAAGGAAACAGATGATTTTTAGATCAAGAGATAGCTAAGAGCTGGTGGGGTAGCTCAGTGCTAGAATGTGCACTTAACATTGCAAAATCTTGATTTTAATCTGGGTGGGTGGAGCACACACACACAGAGAGAGACAGAGAGACAGAGAGATAGAGGACTGCAAGATGTCCATGCTTGGGGCCAGCAAGGTTAAGAGCCCAAGCTGCCAAGCCTGATGACACAAGTTCAATTTTCAGGATCCCACAAGTTGTCCTCTGACCTCCACAAATATGGCACACACATAGATGCCTGTCCATATATATATATGTAAATAAATACCATTAAGTTTTTAAAATTTTGCTGGTCATAGTGGCACATGAGTTTAATCCTCTTTAAATTTCAAAGCCACCCTGAGTTACACAGCAAGCTCCAGACCAGACAGGGCTACATAGTGAAACTCTTGTGATCCCAGCACTCAGGAGTCAGAAGTAGGAAGATGAAGAGTTCAAGACCAGGGAGACCCTGTCTTAAAAGCAGTTGGGTGAGCTTATCCATATCAGCCTATGGTGTGGCTGAGATGCAATGCCATTATTGCCTGGCAGTGCCCACAAAAAGATGCTATGGAAGGATGTGGTAGTGCTAGATTCTGTCAAGGACATATGCCTGATCCCTAGAGTCTCCTCCCCGAGAACCTCTTGTTCCCCACAATCCAGCCCCTGCCTCTAGCTTCAGAAGCACTTTTGCTGCCTTGTGTCCTGACTTCTCAATCTCAGAGTCCACGCCGTGACAAATCCATGAGCAGTGCTGGGCCAGGACCTATGTTCTTCGGGGCATATTGTCATCATACTGACCAGAATGGTCCTGGCCTTGGCCCCTGGTCCAGATATCCAGGGCAGTCAGATTGGCAAGCAGCCGCTGGAAGTGGAAGGCAGGCAGTGGGGAATCTGCCTCCTCAGAGGTCTCCTGCAGGCTGGAAGGGACAGGAAGTCAGTAGGACAGCCTGGTGTAGGGATAGGTGGTGTTAAGAGCCTGAGACCCTCAGGAACCTCCCAGTGTGCCTAGCACCCAGAGACCAGCCTGCCTCCCCAGCCCACCCCCATCTCTCAGGACAGGGAGGCCACTTACAGGAACCAGAGCTGAACCTGGCCTGGCTGCTTGGTGTCCTGAGGACTGGGTGGACTGGAGGTCCTCAGAACCAGAGCCAAGCCTGCCCCCTCCAGTCTCAGGTGCACAGGAGGTAGGGAGCCCCCAGGTGGTACTTGGAGGGTCAGTATGACTGGCTGTCCATAGCTGAGTCTCTGATATCCCAGGAACTTCTCTAAAGGTAGGAGGAAAAGGCTTTTTTTTTTTTTAAGATTTTATTTATTTAGTATAGAACATTCTGCTTCCCTGTATATCTGCACACCAGAAGAGGGCACCAAATCTCATAGCGGATGGTTGTGAGCCTCCATGTGGTTGCTGGGAATTGAACTCAGGACCTCTGGAAGAGCAGTCAGTGCTCTTAACCTCTGAGCCATCTCTCCAGCCCCCAGGAAAAGGCTTTGATAGTGCTGCATGCTTAACTTGATTCTAGCATCTGTGTGGATGGCAACAATAACCATCTAAACAACGTGTGCCTGTGGTAGAAAATCCAAGGCCAGGGCTCAGGATATGGCACAGGGTTTAAAGTGCTTGACACAAAAGTGAGAGGACCAGAGTTTGGATTCCCAGAACACCACTGGAGCATGGTGACCCACTGGAATCCCAGCCTTAGAAAGTAAAAATAGGAGTCTGACTGGTGTGAAACTAGTCATATCATCTTGCCCTGGATTTGATTGAGACACCCTGCCTCAGTGAGCAAGGTAAAAGAGGGTCAAGGGTGATTCCTAACATCAACCTCTGGTACTTACATCCATACACACAGCTGTGCCCACTCACATACAAACATGTATATCACACACACGCACATACAGACACACACACACACACAAACACACACACACACAGAGACACACACAGACACACACACAGACACAGACGCACACACACACACACACAGACACAGATGCACACACACACACATACAGACACAGATGCACACACACAGAGATGCACACACACACACACAGACACACACACACACACACACATACACACATATACAGACACAGATGCACACACACACACACAGACACACACACACATACACATACAGACACAG